AACTTATCAGCTCGCTTGATAATATGCTGAAATCTCATTCAGTTTTTTTGAATGTTTTATTTAAACAAAAAATTAAATAAGGACATATAATGAATTTAGGGGATAAAATATACACTAAACGCAACACAGGAGCTAAATAAACGATGTAGTACCCACTGTTTGCTTTGATGAGCAATATATATGTGTATATATTTCAGTGATTTAATAATTTTTCTTCTCCACAACGCATAACCTAAAAAAAAGAAATTCAAGGGAAATATGTGATACAAGCAAAGTGAAAGTGAATAAGAATATTGTTATTGAAAAAACACCTGAAAAAAATTAAAATTTTGAAATGGGAAATATTTACTCCTTAGATAGAAAGCAATCAAGCAGAGCACCATCGTTTGTTTGCAAAAGAAAATAAAACAATATTAGAAAAAGAAGCCAAAAAATTTATATAAAATGTGATTTATGCAAATAATATATTCTATCCATTTCAATATAAAATAAAAAATCTCATTAATTATTGAAAATATATTGAAATCGCCAAATTTACACAAAGAAATACAGAAAAAAAAATAAATCTTTTCAAAAATATACCAACTAAAATTTCCCTCTGAATTAAAAAAATTAGAAATAAATCGGCGATAAAAGCAAAAAAGTTGAGTTGAGTTGATCGGTTCGATGTCAGTGGTAAGGGGAGTTGATATACCTACAGTCGAACGGCAAAGTGATGATCGTATTGAGCCGAATGAAGATGATGGATATGTCTAAAACGAACGAAAAAGGAGAGGGTTTTATCGTGCCTATCTTGTAAAGTCGGATAATTATTAGGGTTGGTTTGGTAAAAGAATGAAAGGACTAAAAGAAATTATTTGATGTAGCTTTTTAGATGTTAATTGCCGAACAGAAGTAGTTCTATAGATAGAGGAATATTAAGTTTGAGAATAAAGAATCATGAAGGAATTCATTTTAGGCTAATTTTGGTCCACAACTACACTATTCGTGAGAAGTGCAAAATGAAATTAGCATTTTTATAAATTTTATATTTTATAAAATACTTGAATAATTAAATCAATCTTGCATAGCCTAAATTGCAATCAATCTTGTATAGCCTAAATTATACAATAACTGCATACAGTTTTATGAAGCTTCCCAATCGGCAATTTTCCCAAACTCCCGTCAGCCAGTTGCCGATTGCCGACAGCCAATTTGAGATATACCTGTTCGTATTTATTTCGGTTCTTTCTACGAAAATTGTTAATATCATAAGCACTGGAACAAGCACTTGAGCCTATATGCTAGCGATAATTATTATGCTGAGAATTAAAGCAGAAAATTTTGCAGATTGTTCTCAACAGCTTCTTTTGGTGTTTGCGCTCCAATTCATTTTTCTTTTGCCCTTTCTGCAACTTGTCCGAAGCTTTCCACATTCTTCGGATTGCCGATTGCAAATGGAGTTTTGACGATGTGAGCCGACGATCCTTATTGAATATCACTTCTTCGTTCTTGCAGGAGATACGGAAATAAGATGTTACATGAAATAAGATGTTGATTTGCTATCATTCGAATTTGATTTTGTTGAACTGAGAAAGTGAGTTTTTTCTATTTTTCCTAGCGTATGCTTGCAGTGATCACCAACTCGGTATTTAAGCGTGGTCTGGGTCACTCCATCTCTCTTGCATAGAATGACTTTTAGTTCACCAATCTAAGCTCGATGCATTCAATTCTTCTAATTAAAAAATCCATCTGTCACGATCTCTTCTGATCCAGTTGTCCTTTGTTGTTATTTCTGTGACTTTTTATAAACTTGAAGCATGAAACATATTGTGTCCATCTTTTTTTCTTTTTTCATGCGCCTACATAATGATTTTCACCTATTAATATTTAATATTTGAGGAGTCCTTGGATATTTAATGATTATCCTGTTGCGCAAAGATGACATCCGTTTTTGAGGTTTCTGATGTATTCAATTAGCGGAGGACAGAGGAAACGTCGATATCGTTTTTCATTACCTTCTGCCTCGACTCGACTTATTTATATATAGAAATATTGTCTGAATCGTCAACTTATAAATTATCTCGTTCATCTACTCAGATGATATTTCATGGTAGTGGCAGAATGCTAGCCTGCCACAACGGCTATGGCTCAAGTTCAATTTCTGGTCGACGGGAAGTGTGTGCGAAGCAGAAAAGAAGGAAAGGGGTTTTATCGTACGAAAAAAATAAAGCTTACTTTGAGGTTTTCTGTAAAATATTTGTTTAAATTACGTATTTGAATATGCAATTTCAAAAGTTAATTTTGCAAAGGTGTGAAAGTACTGGTAATCTGATTTTTTTTGAAGAGTCCTCACCATTACTAGTTAAACTCGTTCCACTGGCATGTCGCAATTGATCAATATGCCAGCGAATTCCTTGGCGATAGAAATACAGGTGAGTCGGCAGCATCACCCGGATTTTTGTACAAGTCCTTCGCGGAATCGAACCTCAGCATCGACGCTCTCAATTGAACAGCAACCCACTGAGCCATTCCATCCCCACTGGTATTCTGATAAGGTTTTATAAATGAGCGATTATTAATCATCGAACAGAAATACTTATCAAAGAAATACTTTTGAATAGATAAAAAATATAAATTTAAAAATAAAGAAAATCGATTCATGAAGAGATTTTAAACTAATTTTGAGACACAGCTCATTATTTATATTATATTTTTAGCACATTATAAAAAAATTCTATATGAAAATTCTATTTTATAAATTAGATGAAAAGTGCAAAATTAGAATACCTTTCACAGTTATTATTATATAAAAACTTCATATAATTTCATGAAGTTTTGGGAGCTCCCAACAATTAATTATTCCAAACGAGTGAAACGAATCTAGCAAGTGAATCCGTGAATCAATGAATAAATGAATGAGCTAATAAATGAGAAACCATCGATATCGATATTTTCCAGTTTTTTTTATCCAATTTTATATCGCAGTACATACCTAATTTAAGGTTTTACTGATAATAAACGGTAAAATTGATAACTAATCATGACTTATTTATTTCGTTGAATCGTTGATTTATATACGATATTTTGATCAAAACGAAAATGTTATGTTGTAATTCAAATATAAATTAGGTTAAGCAACAGCACACATGCGCGAAAATATGTCGCATGAAGCTTATAAAATTCGGCAATAAGTCCATTTTTATGAATATAAAATTTATATTTTACAAACGTTAATGGACTGAAGACAGCGAATTTATCAACGCTAACTAATGCACATAAAAAATGACGCTGAAAAAATGGATCTATTAGAAAATCATTATTACGACGATTCCAAGAAGCATCCATCATCCAAAAATACATTTCTTATAATCTATTTTCTCAGCAATGTTGGTTCCCTGAAATTACATTTAAACTGACCTTTGAAGCTGCTTTTCTATCAAACCAATGAAAATTTTATTATAGCTAACTAACAAGTCAAAATCTTATTCCATCTTAAACTCTTTATAAAGCTAATTTGCATTAAATTTTCTTAACTATTAAACGTTCATTTTTTTACAACTATAATTTCACAATCCAATCCAACAGTAAAAATCCATGAGATTTTTGGCCTCGACATCCCTAACATCGCCGTATTATGGATAACCTCATTTGTAATCCAAAGAAGAATATTTTGAAAAGTTCCATGGCTTAATTCCAATGCAACATGAAGGGAACTCCGTTCCATTTGCTTATACTCTAATTTCATATTCAATTTCTTTATTAATTGATTTTAAATAAATAAATTAATTGCTGCCGTGCCAGATTTCATCTGTAGATTACCTGAGATGTAAGTGGTTAAGGAATTCAAGAAAAATTAATTAGTACCTAACAATTGATTGTAAATGCATTGCATTGTTGAATGATAATATACCGAGAAGCAACGGAATGGAACTGCTAAAACTTATTCGTAAGACCAGTATTCATAATTTTTCATTGGTACCATTGGTTATAATTATTAGAAAAAACTATTTATATGAATTTATCATAGTGAATAGTTTTTACGATGTTTTTACAATCATTTTACGCTATTTCTCTTTTATACATAAATATTGTTTCATTTATTTATAAAACCAAATAGGAACAAAAATATCTTTATAAAAATCTTTAGTAGAACCAAGAAAATAAAAAAAAAATAAGTGAATGGAATAAAACAAAATTATTTCAAAAAAAATGCAAAAATCAATTTTAAAAAAAATTATATATAAACATATATGTTATATTCTGAAAATTATAAAATATAATCATAAATAACAATCAAAAGAATTATAAAAAAAATTTGAAAAGAATGTAAAGAATTATTTTGCAAAAAATTAAAAACAAAGAACCAGACAGTGCAACGTCTATTAACAACTATAAACTAAGAATAAATCAACAAATAGGCGAGTGGTAACAAATGGTACTTCCTCTCAAATGATTCAGGCTGCAAATAACTATATGCTGAGAATAAAAGCAACAATTCGACGGCAACGAATAAAAGAGAACGATTATGGTATTTGCTTTATCAAAGAACTGAGGTTGCAACATTTTTTTTTATCTTGTTGCTTTTTTAACAAAAGTATATAATTTAACAGCTCTGCTTGTTAAATGAATATACAAACAAGAAAAAATAAAAATGAAATTGAAAACAATTATTAATAATAGTTTTTAATTATTATATTAATGAAACTATTTTAGAAATAATTTTGCAATAGAATTTACAATAACAACAAAATTTTAAGAAATGGCCTTATGATGGCCTATTGGCATAAAGCCTACCAAAACATGGATAATAATAGTAATTTTATTTTATTTTTTTTACAGCAAATTTGGAATTTTGACCCTATGCAGCATATTCTCCCATTCCTCTTACCCTCTTCCTCAGTAATTAAGGAAAATTGAAATAGTAACAATAACTAATTCACATTGCACAATACCTTCTAAAAATATTTTTTAATTGAATTCCAATGCTTAAAATAAATTTGAAAATAGACTTTCCGAACTTATTCCGCATCAAGTACATTATTTTTATCATTTGATTTCCTCTCGCAATTAAGCACCTCTTCATTAGCTTTTTTTTTCAGTTTATTTCGTATTTTTCGTTGATTCTTCTTCTTTTGTCCTAAAATCGACGAGTTCGGACGAAAACAATGCTCTTTAACAAGGCGTTCACTGAACGAGACTCGTTTTTTCCGATTAATATATTCTATAAAGGTAAAGCTATAGATTTTTGATATAGATTTTTTATTACTTCATGAATGTGGTAAGATAAATGAAAAAATATCGCAAAGAAATTTCTCAGAGAATGAGATTTCTATGCTCAATTAATTTACCAGAAATGAATAGGCATCGATGATCATGAATAAGAAAAAATAAGTAATTTACCTGTGCTTTCAGTAGTTTCACCTTCTTCTTGCAACATCTCAGAAGACAGTCCACCAGTAATACTGTTCAATGCTTCACTATGCTCACACTCAGAAACAGATCTACTAAAAATGCAAACATTTTTCCAAAATTTTCAATAAATAAAAGACGAAACGTTTCGAAATAAAGAAAGGAACAAAATGATTTAGCAAGCTGTTTAACCTTATGAAGCGGCCTCGATATACGACAGGTGTTTTTTTCAAAATACTTTTCAAACCGAAAGAAACAGAATCACTGGTCGATCTCTGCCGTAAGCAATGAGGCAAATCTTCCGAATTTGCTGTAAAAAAAAAAAAACAATCAGTGAATATTAAAGAGGCTTTCTCAAACAAAGAAATAAACTGCACCTGTATTTAAACAGAAAAGATTATTTTGAGTATTAATCGGTGAAGAAATTGGTGATATAGACGGCGAACTTAATGACACACCAGAATCCACGCTACCTACCGGACTGCTGCAAAACAACCATAAAAAATACGAATGCTTTGATAGAATACTTTTATGAACAATAAATTTGATATAAAAGAATGAAAAACTTAATGAGTGCTTATAAAAAATGGTAAAAATTGAAATCCAGCTGACTGGTTCAGAGCCAATCAGTACCCAAAAATGACCCAAAAGATTTCATCATACTAATCACTGAAACTGATCATAGCAAGAAATATTTGAAACAAAAAAATCTTGGAGCTCTAAAACCTAATTATACAAAAATTACCTCGTTGACGAATCATTAACGCTTAATTTCTGTTCAATTGTTGCTGTATTAATAGAATTACAGTTGGACACAGTTACACCAACGATTACCTCCAGCGGTGCTGGTGAAATACTGCGATTATGCTTTAACACGACCGTCGATGAAGATTCAGCCATTTCACTATTATTATCTTTCTTTCTTGACGATGATGGACCCTGCATTCAATCGCTTATTATAAAAAATTTTTTTAAGTCCAACGGCTGCATCTATTTATAAATACTATATTTAAATAATTAATAATGAATTTTCCATCATTTAAATTATCATTTTTTATGAGAAATTCAATGAGAAATTTTTTTTTTATGGGAAATTTCCTCTTAATAAATTAACTTTAACGCAAATTTAAATCTCTTTTTCCACTAAAACAAATTAAAAATAATGAAAATATTTTGAAAATTTTTTTCATCTAAGCAATTAACATTAAATAGCAAAAAATTAAATAAATAGGTTACGTATTAAATAAATAAATAAATAAAAATAATTGAAAATTTCTCATTTTTCAATGACGAAAAAATTTTGTTATAAAAACTTTTATAACAAAAAATAATAAAAATTTTCTTAATTAAAATTCAAATTTTTTAATATTCGAATGATTCGATTAAAATTAATCTATGCTAAATTTAATTTATTCAATTTAATTTATTCATTAATTTATTTTAGCAAAATTTTTTTCTTTTAAATCAAATGAAAAAAATAGAAGAAAAGAAGCCAGTGAAATTCAATTTAAAAAAAATATTTTAATTGAAAAAAGATTTTTTAAGATAACTTTAGAAAAAAGAAAATTTACTGAAATTTGTATAATAGCTCGACGATCATTTCGATATAAAATTTTTAACGGCCGAAGCATTTTTTGTATAACTTCTGAAGAAACAGTAAATTTACTATTGTTATGAAAAATTTTTTCATCAATTTTTAATGAATCTTCAAGAAGTCGTCGTAATTCTTCAACACGAGAAAGTTGATGATTCTCATTGTTCATTTCCATCTGAAAAAAAATTATTTATGTAATATTTATGATGAATTATTGTGAGAAAAGAAAAATAAAATAAATCGTAGCAAAAAAGAAAAATTTGCGATTTTCAAAATTGATAAGGAGATTTATTAAAAAAATTTTTTTTATACGATCATTTTAATCATAAAATTATCATTTTTCATTTTTCCTTCCTATTTATCTTCCTTCATTTCCTCTCTTTTTCCTTTTTCAAATTTCTCTTCACACCTATATTTTTTTCTCTTATCGCCTCAGCAATTCATTACCATATTTTCACGATCAATCTTCAATGCTTAATTAAAGAAGCCTTTTCATCACAACAAAGAAGCCGATTTTTTACGTAATAATACATCGATATATTTTCCAAATTACATAATTTTATTATGCACAATCATTGAAAATAGTCGAAGAGAGATTGTAAATAGCGTTGAAATATTTCCGTTATGCACGATAGGAGGAGACTCAACAATAATTCATTAGTCGAACTCTAATGAAAGAATAGCCAAAGATAGCGAAAGCAGGCAAACTTAGCCGAGACAAACAAGTAAATTAAGCTAAAAATGATGAATTTAAAAAATTAAAGCCAAATTTAAATATTTCCAAATAGCTTATTTAGCTGAATAAGCCTTAGTCTAAAACAATAATTAAACTACAAGTACCACAGTAAAATAAGAAACACATTTTAATAATAATTATAATAATAGAAAGAATAATAATTTAGGATGATTTGCACTAAATAATCATTCCGATAGCAACAAATAAGCACCGCGAAACCTTAAGAAACCATATGGTACACAAAGATGTGACTAGCAATAACAAAGTACCAACAACAACTGCTCCATAGTAATTTCTGCAATTGCAAATTTATAAAAATAAAATTTTTATAAAATTTCTTCGATTAATATAAATAATTTATAAATAGACAGACGTCGCTTACTAATTTCAAAAATATGTTTTTTTTTTCCAAAAATATTTCCTTTTATTGAAATTTTTTATTTTTTAATAAATTTACAAAAAGCAAGGATTTCGATGAATTATAAAAACTTTTAAAATCACACATCACAAATCACAGAAAACGATAATTTTTCGATATGAAAAATAAAACTATTGAAAAATAAATAAAAAAGAAATTTAAACAAATGAATTATTATTAGAATAAATGAAAAATAATTTGAATTCAATTGAAAAAAGAAATAAAACTTTTATTTTATTTTTATTTTCAAAGAAAATTTATAAAAATATAACTTTTTATAACTTTGTTTATGAAAAAAATTTCCAAATTTATATTTTTCAAAATAAATTTACAAATATTTTTATAAAATAGCTTTTATTTTCAAATAATTATTAGTAATTAAAAAATAAATTTTTTTTTTATATTTTAATTGACAAATAATTAACAAAAAATATTTTTAAATTAATATAAATAATATATAAATAGATAGACGTTTCTTGATTAATACTGTTCGCTTTGCTATAGTCAAAATCATAAATCGCATAAGCATCGATTGACTGATTTATCAAAAGAAAGGAGATTTACGAGTTTAGAGGTCTAACCGTAGTTTTGTCCTCAAGTCCGACTTTCTCTCTCACTTTTATTGTGCAAGCCGAGCCAAACGAGCAGTGATTTTTAATGAAAAAAATACATGATAAATAACACTGAATTAGATAATGAAGAAGTCATTTATTTGATCATTTCCTATGAAATATTTAGTTACTATTTATTATAATCTATTATTATCATTATCATTATTATCAATATTATTATTAATTATTACAGTGTAAATACTCATCTTTTTTATTATTACAGTGTAAATACTCATCTTCTAATAAAATATTTTCTTTTTTAGGAAGTAAAAAACTGATAAAATAAAATTGATAAAATGTTAAATCAACGTAACCGTTGGCACTAAGCCAACCATAAACGTTGTTCAAATCAACGTCCACAATTTTTTAAAAAATTTGAATTGCGCACAAATAATTCTTTAATTCCTTATGAAACGAGTGCTACTTTTCGGTTTCGTGGACAGCAGCAAATATTTCGTTTTTAAGACATCGTTTTTATGATAAGCAAAATAAAATAGACGCAATTGAATACAAACACCGGTGAGCGTGAATCGGTCATCGAAAATTGATGAAGCAAACTATTGTAAATGCATTAATAGCGTCACGGTTTGACAAAACAGCGAAATTACACGTGGCGGAATGAATCAGTAAAATTAAAAGATTTTTTATTGGTTTCTGGAAAGAATAGGTTTTGTCGGTTAGAAGATGTTAGAAGTTGAAATATTGCTATTGCAGTTATGGGCGCCGGTGACGTCGGCGACTCACCTGTACTTCAACCACCTTCTTCCCTGTTAAAACTTGTCTATTCCGACAAGCCAGCGACGCAAGCCTAACCAGCAATGGTGACCCTGTATTTTAAAAAAAAAAAGTGTGCTAAAGGCGATGGAAGAGGTTTATACAACGAAAAAGTACCAAAAGACCAAATGGTACACACAAATGGCCTATTATACGAGACACACGTCGATTGTTTTCGTTCTCTTATAAGGAGGATTTTCGCATTCTCTCGCAGCACTCCATTATATGTCCTACTGACAGGTTCTTCTAATATTGTACATCGCTTCTAGTTTGGCCGCTGGCTTCGCCATTCAATTAAGATTCTTATCGCAAGGGAATAAAAAAAATTTGATGATTAAAATACAAATGCTTCGAATAGTATTACTAAAGGAAGAGATTTTGATAAAGCAGATAAAAATTTCATGAAATAATGATTAAAATAATAATAGTGATAATTAATAATTAATGATAGCAATAAAAAATAATAATGGAAATAACAAACAGTGCTAATATTATTACTGTTATTTTTTATCATTATTTATTAATATAATTATTAGGATGTTTTCATGAAATTTTTATCTGCTAATAAACAATGTTAATAACAGTTGATAACAAATAACAATATCTATAACTATAATTAAAACTATAACAGTGATAATAGAATTAAACAATAATAATAATAACAGTAGTAATATAGATCCTAGATAAGTGATCCTTTAATAGTGATAAGCAATGAAAATGAATAATATTAATAATTTACAATTATAACAATAAATAACGATAAAAACTAACCACAGTGACAATAATAATAATATTAATAATAAAAATAAAAAATAATAATAATATTAATAAGCAACAATTATCGACTCGGTGCGAAAATGTGAACAAATGCGTTATTGATTGTTGCAATAAGTAAATGTGTATTGATTTTGGAGAATTTTTGGAGAAATTATTTTTATTTAACAATTTTATTTATTTATACAAATAAGATTCATAAATATAATTTTGATTAAAATTTTTTTTTAATATAAAAGACTGCAAAAAATAAGAAAGTAAAAAATTTACTTAAAAAAATATTGCTTTTCGCGATTTTGTCGATGAAATTAAATAAATTTTGCAAGTTTTTGCAAAAATTTTCATTGATAACTTTGCAACAATTTAATTAACCAATTTTGCTGATATTCAACTGATAAAAGCGCTAATATACATTATGAATAGAAAGATTTTAAATTCTATTATTCGAAACCTTTAAAAAGAAATAAATTCTTGAACTTCCTCCTTCTTTTCTTATCAACACGTTCATATCACTTCGCCCACATCGACCAAACGATATTTACATTTCTAATTTCTAATCACTACAATATTTACTATAATTTATTTATTATTTAAATATCACAAAATTAGTAAAATAAAACAAATTTTTAGAGAAATATTTCCTATATCTTAATAAATGCCAATTAATTATAAATCTAATTATGCAAAAGTGATTTGCTTCGAGGTTGGAGATCGAGTTTTATTTATTTTGTTCGGACATTTATTTATACAATGTTTCGTTTCGCGATTTTGTTCGGTATCAACCATGCTGATTATTGCGATTTTCGCTTGAATTTTAGTACGACGAGTGATAATGGACTAAAATTACTACGGAAGCTAGTTTGCAGAAACGAAACATCGTCCCACAACTTCTTCCTTAGGAATATCAACTACAAAGAAATAAGTAACTTAGAAATCATTGTCACAACTCTTTACTAGTATTGGTACCACTATCAATGAAATTTTGCTTATTTACTTTTAACCCAACCATTTCTAACCTGGTTCTCAATGCCCCTCTTTGTTTACTTTAATAAGTACATATCTATTATCCAATTTAATTTTTATAAATAAATAAAAAATTGAATGAATGGACAGTTAAAAATTTAATACTTAAATACTTCTTAAGTAAACTGAAAGCATAAGGAATTCCCAGTCTTCCTTCGTTCCTTCTTTTATTTCCCTCTTCTTTCTTCTACTTCTCCTCCTGATCCTACATATTATTTTGCTTCCCCTCGTTTTTTTTTTGTTTTTAGCATTTTTCATGGAATCTAATCGTTTTTCTTAATTTGTCCATTTCGTTGCTTGTTCACAAATTTAGTACAAAAATTTTTCCATAATAAAAACGAAAAAATAAACATTTTTCCGTTTACTTATTATATGCATTTTTGGAAATCTTTTCCAATTAATTTCTTTTATTTAAAAAATAACAAAAATGATAAAAACGATAAAAATAAATTTCACATTATTTTTATTTGCAACATATTAACAAAAAAAATGAAACTAACATGGAAGTCACATGGCCATAACAAAACATCTAATTCTATAAACCTCTGCAATGAATTGAAATTTTGTTCGTTAGAAGTATGATCGATGATCTCTCTCGACGGATACTTGAAAAAGGGAATAACTGCAACGAGCGTTCTTAAATCGCATAATGCAACCTAAACTTCAGTATATCGCCTCGTTAGCGTTCCCATCCACTACGCTAAACCCGATTATTCTCTTTAATAGCCCTCCACAAACTGTGGAACTTCGGCTACCATTTTTCTCACTTTCAAAATCTTTTCGTTCTCAAATCTTACCCACTTCAATAGTTTGCTGAAATCTTTTACCTTCTCTTCCCTCGTACTATAACATAACGATGACACACCTTCGACATAATTGAATACACGCAACTAAATGGTGAAAGCTTCGAAAGTAGTCCTTAGCCATGCATATAGCAGAGCCTTAGGGAAAGAAATTCTTCATTTTCAAAATCTCAAATCCTTGATTTGACTTCATAAGTAAAAAAAAAAACTTTTTTAAAAATTAATAAATACTAAAAGAAACCAACGAAACGCCCAATTAGAATATTTATCTAAGAAACATATCAAAAAAAAAGCCAAATTTACTAAAAAAAAAAGAGAATTGAAGCAATCCGATTCAACAAATGAACAATAAATTATTTTAAAAGAAAAACTAAAAACATAAAAAGAAGGAAATTTAAAAACAAAATATCCAATATTACAATTTATGCTTAAAAATGTAAAGCTGCAAGCATGCGTGCAAAAAAACTGCGATCAGTTTTTTCACGCAAATTTTCTCAATGATGAAAAAATATAAAAATTTTACAAATGAATGAAAATATTTCTTGTTTTTCTAAATAGAATTTTCCACAAAAAAATTTTTTTCTGAAAAAAATAAAAATGTGGAAAAAGAATCAAATAAATTGATAAAATCGAAAAAAAAGACTTCAATTTCTTCACAGAACATTCATTCGAATTTTAAAAAAGCATTTCCAAAATTAATGTGAGCTATTTGCAAGATTTGTAAAAAAAAGATTTATAATAGAAACAAAATTTTACAATATCGATCCTTCATAATAATTTATCCAATATCCATTGTGGAAATAGTATTTACATCTCAAAACTCTCCAAATAATTTATAAATTATAAATAAATTTATAAACTAAATTTCATTTTCAACAATGATAAATTGTAAATCTAAAAAATATTAATGTAAATATAGAATTGCACATTCCGTTCGCATAAAATATCACAGTTTTTTATGCGAAAAAGAATGAAAATTTTGGAGATCGTATATCTATAAAAAATTATTAAAATTCGACTTTTAAAAAAGATCCTTTAAAAAAAATTTATACAATTTGTAAAAATTTAGGCAAAATCAACCAAAATTTCTTTTCTATCCTTTAATAAATTCATATCTTCAAAAATTATCTTAAAAAATTTATGAACAACTCGATTGATGAATGGAGAAACATGAAAAACTGCATTATAATCCAAGTATAAATCCGATACTGAATATAAAATGAAATAACCCAAAAAAGATATTGACCAATAATTTTTGACCATGTAAAATGTATACGTCTACCTTCTTCGCCATCAATGAACACACCATGCTTATAATAATTCTCTGCAACATAAAAAATTAAATAAAATTACCAAATAAATTATCAGTTAATTTGAATTATCAATTTAAACCATTTGCAAGATAAGCAGGCAACATAGTAAAACTGTCATTAAAAGATCCGAGTGATAATGAATTGTGCTTCTACCACTAAGCTATCATCCTTCCTGGCAAAAAATCCCGCCTTTTCTAAAAACTAGCAGAGACCATCTAATCAAAAATGGTGAATTCTAATCATTAAAATTATTAAAATTTTATTATTAAAATTTTTTATTAAAATTTTTTCTTATTATTAAAATTTTAAATTCTCACTTTAAAAATTTTCGCAAAAAGCATGAATGAAAAGAATTTCAAATATTCTTTTAAAAAAATCATCGATTACAACCCATAAAACTGCATTTTTGTTAGAATTTTGCATAGTTAAATTGAACTACAAACAGAAAACATGATTTAAATAAAAATCACCTAAAATCTCGTCCTTTTTCTTATAAACGCTATATAACCAATTACGTAGTTTTTCTTCATCATGAAATGGTGCCTGAAAGGAAAATATTATAATATATTTATTTCATAATTTTTATTACTTCCCATTTTTCGAAATTTCATAAGAAATTTATTAATCACGAACTTTCTTCTAACAGATCTCACCACTACTCGTTAAATTAGTTCCGCTGGCTACAACGGTAAGCAATTTTCAAACTAATTGGTTTGATGCCATCGCTTAGTTTTAGAAGTCATTCTTTTTTCTGTCGTCTATATCACTATATCACTGATTTCATATATGTTCAAAACCTTTCCTGATTATTTTAGTCCAGGTGTTCCCTAGGGCCCTCCTTGCTCGCCATCTATCAAAGGGTTTAGCAAGTAGCAGAATATGCGCCAACTCCGGTGGTTGACGACGAAAAACCTAACCAGCAAAGGTGCTCTATGATGGTAGCATTAATGGAGGTATTTGAGAGAAAGTGGATACAGTGGACATCATCCAAGATTTCATCGGCTCGTAAAATATATTTTAAACATGATTGGTCAAAGGCAGATAGCTTCTTAATATCCTCCACACTCATTGTCCAAATCCGTCGGCCACATAGCACGATCGGACAAATTGCAACTACATAGATGCGGACTCTTGCCTTTATGGTGATTTCGCGACGACTTGCATAAAGGTTTCGTCAGTTAGCTCGAAGAAAGCATTTCTAGCTACCATTATCCGAGTCGTAATTCCATCTTTTGCCTGTTAAGGATTAGAGTGGATTCACGATTTTTAAAATGAGGATGAGGGTGAACAACTGTAATATCAAGAATTGAATACTAGATTACTGGACTGGTTTATTAAAAATGATAAGCAAAAAGTATGCGAAGTCATTTAAAAACTGCGAAATAAGAACTTACTTCTTCAGCGTCGTATATTTTATAGTGAACAGCAATATCACATTTCTCACGTGTTCCAAAGCATAACGTCACTAAACTTAATGGCATTGCATGAGGATAAGCAATTGTAACATCAAGGATATACTTGATTGGTGGACGAGTTTCTAAAATTTATCAATCAGATAAAAATCGAATTTAATAATCAATTACAAGTCAATCAACTCTCGAAACCAGATTGTTAAATGAAAAATAAAATGAAAAAACCTTTCGAAATGACTAATGTACGCCAAGTTCCTACTTCTTCCGTTTAAAATATAACTATGGGATATATTGGATTATTGACACCGCTTTATTGAGACTTAAGAGATGATCGAGCCATAGATCTTGAAAACGCTATCGAAGTACATAGTCCTTAATGACAGACAGTTAAGAAAAAACTACAACAGAGCACAGATTATGCATTAACAACATATAAGACGAAAATCTGGTCGTATTCCAAATGTTTATACTATACGTTCATAAAGTATCATCCACGTTTGCACATTTTCTCCACTGCTTGAATAAATATTAAATGTTAATTTACCAGACTAATTCTTATATTCGGGTCATGTAAGAAAAGGCCAAAAAATCAGAGAGTTAACGATTAGAGGAAATCCACATTAATCTAGCAATGCGCAGTCGTAACCATATGACTGCAAGGCAAGAAAGTGGAGCATACCAAAAACTCATCTTTGACCACTCTTACCTAAAGAACATGCTATTTCCCTCTAAATCTCCAAGAGTTTGCGCCTAGTTCCGCTAGAATAACGTCTACATTAATACATCATAAAAGAACATCGTCTATACTCTCTACGTTCTTCGCCGCTCATCACAGCAACTAACGCATATCCCGCAACAAGCGAAGCTTTATCATGAGTATCATCAAAAATACAGAAACCAAGAAAAACCTGGAAAGGTACTACCAATAGAGTTTGGAGACATTTGTTCTACTCCACATTTCTTTTAAATGATTTCGATGAAATTGGCTTGTGGCATAGAAATCTTATCACAATTTCTTTATCAGTCAATTTTGTTTGAACAGAATTTATTTATTGCCTCATTTATTTATTAGATAAAATTTTATCACGATTCCCTCATCATTTAACTTTATTTCATCAAAATTCAATATCTCATTCACTTATTAGATATTATTTCCAATTTTTCTAATTTCTGCTCATTAATTTTTCAACTTCGGTAGCTCAGTGGCAGTGGCAAATAACCGATATACGAGGCTTATATTCGAATCCATCCGACTCATCACTCTTTATCGGGTGTCAACATCGCTTAACGGAGAAAATCAAAGGAGAGCAGAATAACTCAGTGGGTTATGTTGCTCAATCCGCAGTGCCGATGCTTAAGTCCTACTCTCAGGAGAAAACCTGTCTAAAAAAATGCGGGCGAGCCATTCATCATTCCATCATCAAGGGATCCTCTAGCATATTTGTCTAGTGCGAGATGCCAGCGAAGCGAGTCTAACCTGTTATGATGAAAGCTCTTAAAAAGAAACTTTAGCATTTGACTAACAACCAAAAGTATTTATCATTGGTATGGTCTTACCGAATGTAACAAAGTGTAACAAATTATAAAATATCGCTATAAATAATTCGAAATAATCGAATAAAAAACAAAAAAGGACAAAATTCAACAATTCAAAGCGTTCAGTAACTTTGAATTTCTCTTCTCCTTCACCACTGATCTATAAATTACTTCTATAAATATAACCAAAAACTTTTCTCTTATCATTATTGCAAAAATATTAATTCAAATGGTGCTACTCCATGCTATAAAATTTAAAACATTGCATATTTTCCATGAAGAATTTCTTCAAACAATGGCTGTTTGTTATTTTTTTTCAATTATTTTCTTTTCTCCATTTGCCATAATAATTCTAACAAATTATTTGGTAAGTCTTATGAAAATTTAGATTAAAAAATCACCTTAAAAAATCTTTTTATATAATCTAATATAAATATTTTAATGGGAAATCATTTCGAAAGAGTTTCACGCAGAATTTTAAATTTGACCATTTGATAAAATAATAAATTAGTGAAATCAACCACAAATGAAAATTTCATTCTTAGTCTTTTAAAATCAGTTCAAAAGAATTGTTTTTCAAAATATTTTCTTTACGATCGTTATTTGCTTCTAATAAATTTCATCCTGAAAATTATATTTCACTGAAAATAAATTTCGCTTAGCTATTCTGATGAAAAAATAATTTGAAGAAATTTCTAGAGAAATCTTAAATTATTTTTTTCCCAAAATCAAAGAATCCATAAATTATTTTTCTTTCTTATCAAACTATCAAAGATTATTTTCATTTCTTAAAAAATTGAAAAATTAGTTCGTTAATTCTCTCAAATTGTTCAGTTAATAGTTAATAAATTTATTATAGGTGTTCCATACAAATTTATGGATATTATTTGTTCTCTATCTAATTTGGATGATTTACGATTGGCGATCACCACATTCTGGTGGATACAAATGGAATCCACTTCGTGACCAATCCATTTATAAACATTTTGTTAACTATTTCCCAGTGAAATTGCATAAAACCGCTGAATTACCCGCCGGGAAGGTTTACGATTACAACTTCTCAAACCTTTGCTATTTACTAATAAATCAGCAATTAAAATGATAAAAATAAGGCAATTATCTATTAACGGAGTCATAACAATGTTGCAGAACTACTTAATCGTTTCACATCCACACGGAATAATTGCAATGAGCACCGTGATAAATTTCTGCACTAATGCAACAGGAATACAGGAAAAATTACCATTAATGAATATAAAAGTATGCACATTAATGGGCCAATTCTTGGTACCATTGCGCAGAGAACTAATCTTACTTCATGGAATGATTAGCTGCAGTAAAAATAGTCTAAAACATTTACTTAATATTGAAAACCAAATCAACAATATCGTTGTCCTAGTTGTTGGTAAGTTTTCCATTCAAATACGTTTAAAATCATTTAAATTATTTAAAATTATTTTAAAATTCTAAAATTCAAATTTCATCAGGAAGAAATGCTGGCAAAATCAAAAAACCACATAAATAAAACCTCTTATTTTAATTACGACCCAAGCAACTTCAATTAATATACCCTTAATATTTAAAGGCGGTGCAGAAGAGGCACTCGATGCTTATCCAGGTTCTCATATCCTCACGCTAAAAAATCGCAAAGGTTTTATTAAAACTGCTCTCGAAACTGGTGCTCATCTTGTTCCTTGTTATTCATTTGGTGAAACCGACTTATATCAGCAAGTAATTTTTGAAAAAGCCTGATATAATTCATCAATAAAAAAAATTTGTAGTATATTTTTTACATAAACTTCTCGCTGCAAAGCAAACATTCCTTAGATTAAAAATAAAAAATAAGACGAACTAGGATACATCATTTACATTACAGTTAATAATTTTTTAAATTCAACTTAAGTGTTTTAGATCAAAATTTTTTTATTTGTTAGGAGCACTCATCATCATTAGTTAAACTCACTCTTTCAGCATGCTGCACTAGATAAATATACCCCTCGGTGATAGAAATACAGGTGGGTCGCCAGCATCATTCTTAGACAAGTTTATTCTTGCCAGAAGTAGAACTCCAGCATCGATGCTCCAAATTGAGTAACAACCCACCGAGCCAATCTTCCCTCCATTGTTTTTTTCCATTAAACAACATTGCCATCCGACGATAGTAATGGGTCGATGGATTAGAATCCAAGTCTCAGTGGCAGTTGTTTTGCCACTGAGCCACTGATGCATTTCAAATAAAATAATGATCACATAAAATAACTGAAAAATAGGAATTTTGCAGACAATCAGAAATGATATAATTATTAGTCTATTAAAAAAGGATATCTACTTCCTTTTTCATGGCAATAAATTTTGTAAAGCTTTGCAGGCTTACAATCCACCAGGCTCAACTATACGCAATATTCAAACACGACTCAAGAAACTTTTCGGTTTTTCGCCACCATTATTTTATGGAAGAGGAATATTTAATTGTAATTTTGGTTTTCTTCCGTACAGGTAATATTCATATTTCAAGATATATAATTTCAAAACATTAATAACATTTCAATTCACGATTTTTTTCACAAAAACGAATCACCACAGGAAAGCAATAAATACAGTTATCGGTGCTCCGATACCAATTGATAAGAAAAAGAATCCGTCAAAAGAAAAGGTCGATGAGCTTCACAAACTTTATATCAACAAACTGATCAATTTATTTGAAGATCATAAAACAAAATTTGGTGTGCCAAAAGAAACTAAGCTTATAATTAAATGATTTTCACCGATTAATTTCTTTCGTACTTTTCTTACGAATAACGAAGTTTCTTTAACGAGAATGAAATGAAAAAAATATAAAATACTCCAAAAAAATATGAAAATATTATTGCGAACTTATTGCAAATGAAATGAAGAACCAGCTAAAATGTTTAGGAATCGAAATTTTTTAACAAATTTTATCCTTTTCTCAATATATTAAAAAAAAGAAAAAGGAAGTATTTCAAAAAAAATTGAAAATATGAAAACCTTTAATATATTTTTTCTCTCTAATTGCACCAACTGTATCTTTGATCAATTTCAATTTGCTTCTATTTTTTAGTCTATTTTCATCTTGTGAACTGTCATTATCTCGTGGTCCAATTTCCTCCAAAATTGTTTTAACAGCACCAAAACGTGGTAATGTGGTAAATTTCAGATGCGGATAACCATGCTCACGACCATATCTAATTATAATTCTTTTAGTAACAATGAATTTCTTCTATTCATTATTAAATTTATTCCACAAATTTTTCATGTTCCTTGGGAAACAAATAGATTAACACATCTCTCCATAATACTACCAGATCTAACTTAATGACCTTACCTCTGGCTATTTTCAATGAGCTTGTACAGAAATCCGCCTTCAGGGAATACTATTACCCATCTCCGATCACGATCCCAGAATACTTTTCTAAGATGTTTCTTTAATTTCAATAGCTCTTTTTCCCGCGTATCTCTCCCTTGTTTGATAAAATAATCACCGTGCATTCGTCCAATTATACCAAAAGGAGTCCAACGAAACATAACATCCATAAGCCACAGTGTCTAAAAATTATTACATGAAAAATCAAAGCAGCAGTCATTTTTACATCTAAAATATTAATTTCCTCATGATGTGCTAAAACAGATTTCTCATAAATGGATCTTCTAATAACATTAAAACATACCTAGTGTTTAAGGCTACTAGACTGGGAATAGCAGTGTAGATTATTAAGTTACCACAACCATCTGGATTTTAGCAATACGTTCATACCCATAAATGAGGAGGGATAGAATTCATGATGCACCACAATGTTCAGTCGATGAAATATACTATTCAATTGTCGCTCTATTTCCTTTAAATTGGATACAATAACGAAAAAAGAATACCTTCCTGGACGCCGGACCTTTACTTTGTAGAACGGTCATTAACGTAGGCACATCAGCAGTACTTTGATGATTACATAAAACTAATACACGTTCTTTTTGGCAAAAAAACTGCAAATCATCACCATATTCGTAAACTGAAATGGGAATAACCTTTCGTTGAAACTTTTTAAAAAAAAATTTATCCCTGATGGAAAACTTTTTTTATTATCCATTATCAATGGCAGATAATTAAATGAATTTATCAGTGTTAATAGCAGATGAGATAAATATGATTATTTATGGAATGAACGATGCATCATTATGATATCATATTCGCGAAGATGGAAAAGTTCAAATCTTTCTTCGTTGGGCATAACAACATTTAACTCATGTTGATCGGCTATCACTTGCCTCCAACTACGCTTCACGAAGATTTAAATGACGAGCAGAAAATTTCGTAAATTTTTTACGAATTTGTTGTTACTGTTGAGAAGGAAATCTACTGGACTTCTAAAATCGATAAAATACCGATTCTAAAATGGAATATATGATGGAATAGTTTTTACGAAAAAATGGTATCATACAAACCGTCGTATCCGGCAGTATATCCCCAGTATCCAATAAACGCTTGCAACCAAAGATATAATTTTCCTTCATAAAACCAGTAAAGACGCGGCCTGAATTAGAAATTATTGTTACGATTATTATTACGCATTATATTTTACTATTTATTATAAATATAATATTATATTTTCTTTTTGAATTTAAACCATTAGTATTCACAAGACAAGGAAATGCAAAATGGAATTATAGTAGTCTCATAAATATGTGAAAAACTTTAAAATGGTTACAAACCACAACGTTTTAGCCCATAATATGGGAATCATAAAACCAAAATAAGCAAAGAAAAATACAGTCGTATTTGAAGCACAAAGAACAACGCGGATTGGTGTTTTCAAAAGCCAAATTAACCTGAAAGATTGTTTTATTATAGAACAATCCACAGAACCTAAAATAATGACAATCAACATGCAAAAAAAATAGTTCTAAAAGTTTTACATAAGAATAAATCTAAAAATTTCAAATAACAAATTAAATTTAAAAAAAAATATATATGAATCAGAATCGAAATATTGAAAAAATATGTAATGGAAATGCAACGCGGTAAAATGAATGACATTGGGAAAAGTGAAAATGTAGTGCATGTGAAGATACTATACGACTGGAATAATTGAAATGTGAGAAAATAAACTATGGAAAGCAAAATAACCAAATAAAGACTGTAATAAATGAGAAATATTTTTTTCTTTTTATGAAAAATAAACCTTTCAAAATTAGTCATTTGCGACCAAGCAGATTTATCGCCAGGCTTTCGCATTTCTGTTTCATATACCAAACCGTTCTTCATTATTTCACTTTATTTTTCACCTTAAATAAAAATATTTTAATATGAAACTTTGAAACGAAAAAGAACGCAAAGAATCGTAAAATGATAACAACCGTTCATCATTTTTCTAATTCCCATTCTAACAATATTTTCTATTTTGTATTTTTGTTAACGCAAATCACTACTAGATTGAGAGCGTTTCGAACGAGAAGAACAATTTCTGGATTGGAAATACGAGTCGAATTTCAAAAACATATCCGGATTTCAACTTTTATTGAAGATTCTTCCTCATAGAAGTACTCAAAATAAGTCCATAATGTTTCTTAGTTCAAATAAAAATATATAACCTAATCAGTATATCAGTATATCTCTTTTTAAGCAATAAATTATGTAACAATTATTTGTTACTAATAAAATTTAAAAATCTAAAAATATGAAAAAAACTACTAATGTGACAAGAAAAGCAAAAAAGAATAAAATAAAGGAAAAAGCCAACTTATTTGAAATTTCAAGGAATGTTGAGGAATATATGAATGGAGAAATTTTTGTGCTTATTTTTTGTTTTCTTATTTTTTTAGCTTTTTGCTTTGTTTTGTTTTCTAATAGACGTTGTTTGAGAAGAATGCTTTACACAACATTATGCATTCGCAAATCCAAACGATAAATCTAAAAATCGCGAAATTTAGATTTAAAAAAACAATAATCGATGCATTTATCGCGATATTCTCGTTGAATAATTCATCAAATTTACTTAAAATTTTTTTATTTCAATGAGAAAAAACATTCGGCGCTGATTTATTGTTTCGCGCTAATGAACATGTAAAATAAACGACAAAATGGCGAATCTTATGGAAAAAATACCTATAAATAAATATTTCTATATGAAAAAAAAGGATTTTATTTAAAGAAAAATGATTTTTGATCACGGAAAGTCTGAAAAAAAATATCACTGGAAACATAACGCTAGAGGATGATTCGATTTGATAAGAAGTTTGATACTTTATGGAATTTTTTTATCATTTTTCTAACCAACGGCTTTCCATATTTTCCGCTGGATTAGCTTTTTTTCATCATTTTAGGCATTACAACTCAGCAATAACCATTAGCAATCCATATGATACTGGGAAAATTGGCTATAATGACCGAGTGTCTCTGGCCCATCCCCTTTATGGCCAACTCAGTAAACCAGGCCAGAAACGACGACTGCGAATTAGTAATCAAATAAGTTGATTGAACACTAAAAAAACAAATGTTTTTATTACACAAAAGATGAAAAACAGCCCCATGCGATATCGATCATAGCAATTCAAAAAAAAAGTGATATTCGTGAAATGATTATGATGAATATGGCCTGCCGTAGTCCAGTTTACGGCCCATGAAATAACATTTTACGGCCAATCTTTTGAGGTCGAAGATATTTTACGAATTTTGATTAAAATTTTTATGGTATAAATTTTATTTTTAAAAGAAAATCTTATACCGGGAAAAAAATTTCGATAAAATAACAATTTTTCATTATTTTTCCACGTTTTTTTTCTTACACGTAAAATTTTTTTTCTTTTTTAAAAAGTACAAGAAAAATAAAAATATGCTAATAAATTTATTATTTGAATTTCATTCACGTGTTATACCATAAAACGATTTAAGTAAAGCGATAAAAATAATTTACTGATAAAGCGATAAGTGCACTAAAAGAAGCGAAAATGTTCGATATTACACAAGACGAAGAGATGAAAACATATACGATGATTTATACGAGTGTACAACCGATCTCTCGCATGAACACTCGTCGTAATGACTGATACGTATCCATTTTTTGACCTCGTATAATTGACGGATTGCATTAATCAATCGATCTAAAGAATTTGACCCCTAGCGATATATTCGATTATAAATAAAAGAGAAAAAATTTTTCATTTGTGAGAATTCTCTCGAATTCTCTAGCAAAGGCCTAAGAGATTGTCGGTTCTGCGTGGTATCTTAGCTGTTCCTAATAGTGCGCTCCTCTGAGTCGAGATCTCTGATGTTGTTTCCTGGAATCTGCTGAAAGCTGCTGCTTTAGCTAGTTTAGAGGTCACAATTCCAATTGCTCTAAAAAGTAAGTCTAACAATTTTTTCCATAAATAATTTGAATTAACAGTCAGAATTAACAGCCCAAGTGATTAATGTTCGAATTATCGTATCGGCCATCATAGTTTGAAACAATGAGTAAATTCGTGGCGGAAAAAAATTTGGACGCTCCTGAAAATCCATCTTTATTCTATCTAAATGAATCAATGTATATTACCGTACTAATAACTAAAAACTAATACAGAACGAAGAAATGAATCAAAAATATGAAAAATATAGAAAAAAACTGAAAAATTTTAATTTATAATTCATAAAATTGAATTGAAAATCGCACAAATAATTAAATAAAATTGATTTAAAAGTTTTATAGAAAAAATTCCATTAAATTTTGAGAAAAAAATTTAAAATGTTTGCGGAAAAAAAATATTTTTGTTAATAAATAATTGAAAAAAAAGTAAAATAAAAGAAATGAAGAAATATGAATAATAAAATATTTTATTTTTTATTAAATTTTAGAAATTTTTAAATAATTTAACAAACAATTTAGAAAAAATTATAATTGAATGTATTTACAAAAATTTCTTCAAATTAACTTTACTTAATGGAATTTCTTCGTTAGTATTTTTTTTTCTGATTTGGCTGGTTCCACGGACTACTATAATGAAACTCTTCTGCCAGAAAAACACTTAGCGATCTAATTTGTATTTAACCCTAATCGGACCTTAAGTTTTATTGAACAAATTATCAAATTTTGAAAAATTTTTAAAATTAGTAGGTAAGCAATTTTCATTTATCACTATTTTAGTAAAGGCATATTGCAATAAAAGTTGAGTGCTCTATAGTTTTAAGGCTAAGATCAAGCAGCAGGAGTTCAATTCCTCCCTAAAACCAAACTTCAGGGAAATCCATGTGGTACTGAGCACTCGCCTGCACTCCATCCACAATTGACTCTCTGTACGATTCACTGAACGCTAATAACCAACATAAGCCGAAGAAGATGTGTTGAATTGTTGAATGTTGTTAGAGAAGGAATTTGAAATAGAATATCGTTGACAAATTATAGTGAGGCCAAAACTGAATATTCCAATTAAATAAGGCAATTCGCTAGCCACTTAATGAACCATGTTGATGGCTGTGGAATTGCTCTAATTTCGGATCGCCAATACTTGAATTTCCGGTAAAATCCAACTAGTACTACTGATCTATTTATACATTCACCGCCTAGTATTCCCCTAATAGAAGTGGCATTTGATAAACCAGCGAAATGAATCTAAAAGAAGGAATGATAAGGCTTAGAAAAGAAAATAGCCATAATTTCTATAAAAGAAAACCATAATTAATACCACGCATATTTTACTAAGCCAATACAATATAGTATAACAAATATTTTTTAAAAAAAAACCTATAAATAAAATTTTCAAAGAAATATTTTGGCGCTTTGCATATGAGATTAAGACTTAGGTCAATGTCATTTCCAGTCATAAAATTAAAAAGGTCAACCATTCGCCATGTAAACAAATTGCGTTCAACAAAAATTCTCATAAAAAAATTCGATATATTGTTATTTTTTATAGTACCTTATAATACTTTTTTTTATAATAGTCCTCATCATTAGTGGTTAAAATCGCTCCATTGGCTTGTCGCATTGGGCAGTATGCCTGGGAGTCCCTTGGCGACAGAGATACAGGTGAATTGACAGCATCACTCGGATTTTTTGGCAGATTTACTTCTTCTGGAAATCGAACCTCAGCATCGGCGCTCCCAATTGAGCAACAACCCACTGAGCCATTTTATCCCCAAGCTTCACATAATACAAAAGTATCTCAAATTATCTCAAAAACTTTATTATATTACAAATAAAAAATTCATATTTATTCATAACAATTAATGATCGTTTTATAAGAAACAATATAGTCGAACGTATATTACCTAAGACAAATCCTTTCCTATAAAAAAATATATGTGTCTATTGTCTGCAAATCAAAATATTGTAAAATATATATTATAGCCGTAAATTAATATATTCTATTCTATCCATAAAGGAACTCGTTGCCGAATGCCGAAATTTTCTCGTCCCACACCAATAGGCGATGGAGTGAAACTAGTCGGAATGATTAATGTTAACCACTTATCATCTTATTTAATGTAAAAAATAGTCTTAAATTATTTTTATAAATTCGATTTATTTCTCATTGATGTTTTTTGTTAAATAAATTCTTATTTCTTTAAATCATTTGTTTTATTGTTAAGATTTTATAATTTTTTTCTCATTTCATTCTTTTTTCTTTTTGTTCATTATCAACTTATCAGTAATGTTTCATCTTTAATGCATTAAATTTTAAGAAAACAATTTTTTACAAAAAAAAAAATTATAACAAAAATATAAATATAAAATTATAACAGAAAAATGTAAATAAACATAAAATTTGAGAATATTTCTAGTGAAATTAGAGAGAAATGAAAATAGAAAGAAATAATAACGATGCCAACTAAAATCTTATCGAATTCCACTATCTTTATCGTCGATAAAGTTTATCACTTGTAACTTTGATTATTGCTAGATGATCTTCATAG